TGTCCTGTTCACTATCATATTCTGAATGCCTCACTCAGATTAGGCACTCAATCAACAAACAAGTAAATCTTGAGAGAAGAAAAGTTCTTCCTTGCAGTCTTTTGCTAATAAAAGTCCTGATAAAGAAGATACTTAATAGCAAACTCAGTGTGTGCTAAATATTGACTGGTAAAATAGAGGAAATTAGATAAATACTAGAATATAACCATATTTATAATTACATCATTGGAAAAGAATAACAATGCTATCAACTAAGGGAATATGACTCACCATCATATTTTGCTAGGACTGCCTGAACATCTGCATAGGCCTGTAATTCTAAAAGTGATTCTAAGAGATTTTCATGGATGTTCAACATGGTAAGAGGAGGAAATTCTTTCATCAACTGTATATTAAAAGGAAAAAAAGATTAAAATCATAACAAAGGAACTCAATAGAGCTGAGCCAGATTAATTAAAGTAGAAATTCTTGTTTCTTAACATAGCTATGAAGAAGACCTAACCCTTAAGAAAGGTACATATATTAAATAAACACCTTGTTCTAAAAACTACCAATTAAAAAACAGTGACTCTGCATTAAAATAACTGGCAACTTAACTATATTTTAGTTTGTGGAGGATAAATGTAATAGTCCCACCATCAATTTACTTACATCTCGCATTATTTTTACTGCTTCTCTTATTCTTCCTAATTTTCTTGCACACATTGCCAATCTCCTTTTAATATATACCAGTACATTGGTATCTCTCCCTATTTGGAATAAAAAAAATACAACTATCACTTTTGTATTGTGGGCTGCTATTTCATTAACATATCCACTTATTTGCTTCCCTTGGAAGATTCAATTAAAATTAAATTGTGTCAGAATGGAAGAATACTAATTAATTATGGCCACATTTGGATGATGAATATTGAACAGGAATGTTCTCTATTTTTGTGCATGTTTTAAGTTTTCTGTATTAAAACTTAAAATACACATTTAATTATTTTTGCCTCTTATAGTAACCTAATTACAGTGTATATAATTTGTGTATGATTGATAAGTTTATTTTAACATTAACAGAAAATACATACATACATTAAAAGGAAGATATAACATTAACCCAGTATTTTAAGTTTGTGCATAAATGATCTATTATTCTGATATTCTCTATTGTTTTAATTGAAAAACAAAAAAGTCCAAAATAAAGTTTCCATGGCTAACGTAAACTTTTCTTAACAGTGAGTAATCGACAAACTATAAAACTACTTCTAGAAAGAGCTAACAAATATTTCTGTAACTATCTCATAGCCATATTTGAGATTATACAAAGACAAATGGCATGACTTTTTTACAGATGCAGTTTCATTAGTTCAGGCTACAAAATTATATATTCCCACAAATGTGTGTTATAAAAATGTGCATCAATGAAACATACCATATATATCAGTATTTAGCTTAGGGAGAAAAACATTCTCCAAATTTTAGTTTACAAACAAAAAAATATTTAGAACTTAACTGCTAGTAAATAATACATTATATAAACATATTTCAATTTATTTCCCACTTCACTATTTGCCAAAATTGTGAAACCAAAACCCTCTGGCCATAAAAATAGCAGGAAGCAGCATCACTGATGATTCTAACATCTTTGGTAAAAAAATCTCAATCATAATTGGTAAAGCATATTTAAGAATCGAAAAGACTTCTGTTGCTATGGTTCATTTGATCCCAAGCACATCATGGAGAAAAACCAACCAAAGAAAGAATCAGTGCCAAGTATGAGGCTGGATTTAGGGCTAAGAATCAGATGGCGGGAAAGGAGCCACTCCCTAGCACTATATGCAGATACAGAGTCTGAAGAGCAAATCAAATAATGTACCTTCACTCTTGCTTAGAGTAAGGGTGAGGATAAAGATAATAGCTGCTTATTATCACTAGAAGCCTCTCCTGAAGGCTGAATGTTTTTGAGTTATATTTTTTCAACGAACAGCCCAATTCTCACATGAAATAAATTACTGTTAAGTCTCAGAGCAGCACATCTTCTCTCAATAACCTGAGCAGATCTACTCCCTTCCATAAGCTTTCTCTGGCTAATACACATTTCTGTCTTGCTGGCTTGTAGGTATCACGAATAGATTAGTTATTTCCAGTGAAAATTAACTAATCTGTAAGTATTAGGTTATTATTGTTGTTTTGTGTTAAGACACAAGCAAATTTGAAGAGCTAAAAGACAGTAATAAGCAGTTCAAACTTGCTTACTCAGTTGGGCTTCATGCTGAGGACTTTGGTGCTGGCATTGCTGCGACCGCCTATAAATTGTTTCTCCTGCCTTGAGCGCCTGTTTAAATAACCTTTCAGCATCTACAATAGTTGTTGCTTCTTCCTCAGCCAGTAGAACGTATGCAGTGGCACAGCTATGAAGAAAGCAGGAAGGCAATTTTAAATAAAATGATATAGCAAGTATTTTCTCTTGGTTATGTCCCTTTGCTCTATGTCGTATTTCCTTTCCTACACTTTTTCCACCTTTTGAAGAAAAAAAAAACTTCACTCAATATTTTACTTTAATAGGGACATATTGGTATATTCTTTATGTCTGATTCCACAATTTTTCTGTTCTCTTATCTTTTTCTGCTCTTTATCTTGTCCTTTAAAAAAAAATTATGTCTCCTCTAACCCATTGTCCTGCATTTTCTTTTTGTGAAAGGGGGGAGAAAATATATATATATATATATATATATATATATAGAATTATCTGAATTGTTACTCATAAGACTATACCCTCTAGTGGTCATAACTGCTTTTTTTTAAGACAGGGTTTCACTCCTGTCGCCTAGGCTGGAGTGCAATGGCCCGATCTTGTCTCACTGCGACCTCTGTCTCCAGGGTTCAAGCAATTCTCCTGCCTCAGTTCCTGAGTAGCTGGGATTACAGGCATGCGCCACAATGACAAGCTACTTTTTGCATTTTTAGTAGAGATGGGGTTTTACCATGCCGGCCAGGCTGGTCTGAAACTTCTGACCTCACTTGATCCACCTGCCTCAATCTTCCAAAGTGCTGGGATTACAGGAGTGAGCCACTGTGCCCAGCCAGTCATACCTGATTTAGTCACTGTATACTTTATGATATCCATTTCACGGGGCAGGTATAGCGGGGGTGAAGATTGGGAAGACAGTCCTTTGGCCAACTAGGCGCGTTTAACATCTAACTCAGAAACATATTCCAGGACTAGACATTTTCCCCAAATCTAAGCACACCCCTCTGCATTCTGTCCCATCCTCCCATGGACTTATCTACAATATTATGCAGTATAATTTCCCTTGTTCTAAATTCAAGTCCTTCCTCCCATACTCCTACTCTCATTCATTCCTCACAACAATGCTTATGCCAAGTTTTCTTTTCTTCACCCCACTAAAACACAGAGGCTTTTCTTTGTATCTTTTTTTTTTTTTTTTTTTTGAGGTGGAGTCTCACTCTGTTGCCCAGACTGGAGTGCAATGTCGCAATCTCGGCTCACTGCAACCTCTGCCTCCTGGGTTCAAGCGATTCTCCTGCCTCAGCCTCCTGAGTAGGTGGGATTGCAGGCATGAGCCACCGTGCTCAGCCCTTTGTATCTTTTAAGTCAACAGTTGGCTAATAAACAAATTCTTGTTTTGGGGCCACAAAGAGAAACAAAACGTTATTCCACTCCCAGAAGTAACAAACCCGCCTCTTCTAGAGACAATGTCCTAGTTGTAATTATCTAAGCCTGCACTGTCCAGAGTTTTAGGCATTAGCCACATGTGGTTATTGAGAACTTGAAATATGACGAGTTGGAATTGAGATGTGATGCAAGTATAAAAACACACAATGAATTTTGAAGACTTAGAAGAATGTAAAATTCCTCATTAATAGATTTTAGAAAAGTATTGTCTATATATTAAAATATTCTAGGCCGGGCGTGGTGGCTCACACTTGCAATTCCAGCCCTTTGGGAGGCCCAGGTGGGTGGATCATGAGGTCAGGAGATCAAGACCATCCTGGCCAACATGGTGAAACCCCATCTCTACTAAAAATACAAAAATTAGCTGGGTGTGGCAGCGCACCTGTAGTCCCAGCTACTCAGGAGGCTGAGGCAGGAGAATCCCTTGAACCCAAGAGGTAGAGGCTGCAGTGAGCCAAGATCGCACAACTGCACTCCAGCCTGGCGACAGAATGAGACTCCATCTCAAAAAATTTTAAAAAAATAAATAAATCAAATATTTCAATATTTTGAATACAGCTAAATAAAACATTATACAGATTAATTTCACCTATTTCTTTTTACTTTTTAAATGTGGATACTAGAAAATGTAAAGTTACATATGTGGCTTGCATTGTATTTCTAATAATTAGTGCTTATCTAAGCAAGAGGAGAGAAATTCTTGATAAACATAGAAAACTAAGCATTAAACAAAAGTGATAACAGGTAGAAATCATTAAGTGGAGACAAAAAATGTTCTTCAGATATGGAAAATGCAAATCATACCATTTCATCATCCTTCAAATAGGAAGACCCCATAGTACATAATAATTTTACTCATCAACAAAGATTTCTCCATTTGATTACACGAGATCCCTGTGAAGCGTTAGATATACTACTGCTTTAAACACTGGCCTTCCTGCCTAGGCGCAGTGGCTCATGCCTGAAATCTTAGCACTTTGGGAGGCCAAGGCAGGAGAATCACTTGAGGCCAGTAGTTCGAGACTAGCCTGGGCAACAAAATGAGACCCTTCCTCTACAAAAAGAAAAATAAAGGCTTAAAAATTAACTGGGTGTAGTGATGTGCACCTGTAGTCCTAGCTACTTCAGAGGCTAAAGCAAGAGGACTGCTTAAGCCTAGGAGTTTGAGGTTACAATAAAGCTATCATCTTACCACTGCACTCCAGCCTGGGCAACAGAGCAAAACCCTGTGTCTAAACAAAAACAAAAAACAAAAACACTAGGGTTCCTGACTGCCATTCCAAAAACCAAGTGAAATGTAATAAAAACACTTTCTTTTGATGCCCCTAGAGGCATTGCAGATGTGGCTGCTGTGTCACATATGTGTCATTGGGTGGCAGAGATTAGAAAGATTATGTCTATGCTCAGCATTCTGCCCTGTGAACGTTTGAATGTTTCATAGTCTAACAATCCTGATTTGTGGACTGGGCATCTGTTTTCCTTCACTGGCATCTGGGAGAGAGAGGCCTGGCCTTGAAGGAGGTGACTTAGTCTGTGATGGATTTCCAGCACGAGCAATGGCCAGAGCGACCAGGTCAGCCGGCCCCAGCCCAGATCAAGGTGCAGAGGGCAGGATGTGGGCCCAGCCCTGTGCCAGGAGGCTGGTTGGAATAGAGGGATGGGCAGGCTGGCATCAGGATGCCCACCGCCTCTGCCTGGGTGGTGCTGTGTGTTCCAGCCAGCCAGGGGCAGCTGCTGGGACCGTCCCTCCATTTTAGTATCACGATTCTTAAGTTCTGCCATTGTGGTATTCCGGTGGAAAAAAAGAACCGTTTGGCTGTTTTTGAACTGCCCAGAACCTGAGATCCTGAATAATTATTATTTGTTTTTACTGTATTTGAATTATCTTGTTTTTGTTTTTTTTCTCCCAATGGGGAAAAAAATCTATATGAAGAAAACATTTATTTTAAAATACAGGATGAAGTGAGAAAAAAAAAAAAACATACTTTTTAAAAATGATTGTATGGCTGTATGGTAAAAAGGGCAAAACTCCATCTCAAAAAAAAAAAAAAAAAAATCAACTGACCATAGACATATGAGTTTATTTCTGGAATCTCAATTTAAATCCATTGATCTAGGTGTCTATCCTTATGATTTAACTACAGTAGCTTAGCATAAGTTCTAAAATCAGGTAGTGTGTCTTCCAATGCTGTGCTTCTATTTCAAGATTGTTTTGGTATTGAGGGCCTCTTGCAGTTCTATATGAATTATAGGGTCACCTTGTCCGTTTCTGCAGAAATAGTAATTAAAATTTTTATAGGGATTGCACTGAATCTGTCAATCAATTTAGGGAGTACTGCTATTGTAACAATGTCTTCCACTCCATGAACATAAGGTATCTTTTCATTTATTTATGCAACTTATGCTTTATAGTTTTTAGCACCCAAGTCTTGCACCTCTTTGGTTAAATTTATTCCTAAGTATTTAAATCTTTCTGGTGCCTTTGTAAATAGAATTGTTTTCTTAATTTCCTTTTCATTGTTTCATAGCTAGGATATAGATATCCAACTGATTTTCATATGTTGATTTTGTTTCTTACAATTTTGTCAACTCTTTCATTAGCTCTAGGTTTTTTTTTCTTTTTTTGTGGATTAAGGTTTTCTACAAATAAAATCATGCCGTCTGTGTTTGAAGATAGTTTTACTTTTTCCTTTCCAATTTAAATGCCATGTAAAAATTTGTTTTGCCTAACTGCACTGACTAGAACCTCCAGTACACCATGTAACACGGAAGTGCAAGTGCAGACGTCCTGCCTTCTTCCTGACTGTGGAGGGAAACATTTCATTCTTTCATCAGTAAGCATGTATTTAGAATGAATTTTTCAGATGTTCTTGTGAAATTTCCTTCCATTCCTAGTTTTAAATATTTTCATCATAAAATGGTGTTGGATATTGTCAGATCTTTTGTTCATCAACTGAGATGATCATGTAGCTCTTGTCCTTTGGTCTATTAATGGGGAATATTACATTAATTGATTTCCATTTATTTATCAAGATTGGGAATTGTGTCAAATGCTTTTTCTACATCAGTTGAGATAATCATGTGGTTTCTTGCTTCATTCTGTTCATATAGTGTGCTACATTTACTGATTTTCAAATGTTTAACCATTCTTGCCTCCAGGAATAAATGCTACTTGCTCAAGGTGTGTAACATTTTTTAATATGCTGCTGTAATTGGTGTGCTATTATTTTGTTTTCAGCTATTATTTCTTCAAATATTTTTCTGCCCTTTTCTCTCTCTTTCTTTTGGAACTCCTATAATGCATAGATTGGTATGCTTGATAGCATCCTACAGTTCTCTTAGGTCATATTTCTTTATTCCTTAATTTTTTCCTGCTCCTTGAATTGGGTAATCTCAATTGACTTAAATGAAATTCACTGGTTCTTGCTTCTGTCTGCTCAAACCTGCTTGCTGCTGAACACCTATGGTATATTTTTCATTTTAGTTAAGCTTTTTAATTCTGAAATTTCTATTTGGGTCCTTTTTATTATTTCTTCCTCTTTACTAATATTCTCTAATGGTGAGAGATCATTATCATGGTTTCCTTTACCTCCTGGCGCACATTTAAAATAGCTGATTTAAACTTTTTGTTTATTAAGTCCAAAGTCTAGGCTTCACAGGGGACTCTTTTCTATTAATTTCTTTTCTTTTTAGAGACAGGGTCTCTTTATGTTTCCCAGGCTGGTCTCAAACTCCTGAGCTCAAGCAATCCTTCTGCCTTGGCCTCCCAAAGTGTTGGGACTACAGGTATAAGCCACCACACCCAGCCTAATTTCTTTTCTTTCCTATGTATGGGCCATGTTTTCTTGTTTCTTTGCATGCCTTGTAATTTTTTGTTGAAAATGGGAAATTCTAAATATTTTATTTTAGCAACTCTAGAAATATAATATTCTCTACTTCCTAGGGTTTGTTGTTGCTACTTTTGCAGTTGTTTAGTGACTTTTCTGAACCAATTTTATAAAATCTGTATTATTTGTCATGTATGACCAGTGTCATCTGTGCTATTTTAGCCTCGTGGTCATTTGATGATTAGATAGAGATTTCCTTAAACGCCTGAGATCAAAACCAAACAAAACACAAATGGCAAAAGTATTTGCAAATGGGCTCTGTGTGGGTGCTAGGGCATACCTTCAACATTCAGCCTAACAGTTTACAACTCTGCCTTAGCCTTCACCTCCTACTTGTGCAGAACATGAAGGTTAGCCAGACTTGAGAGTTTAGGACTTTCTCAAGTCTCTTCTGAGCATGTGCCCAGCTCTGGCTGTGTGTAGGGTCTTTAGATTCCCAGAAATATGTGGGAGCTTTTCAAAGACTTTATTTCTAAAAGTGTCTAATTCCCCAGCCTTCGCTCACAAGCTTTCTGGTTTGTCTGTTGCTTGTCCTTCCTGTTATCACTTGCCCCAGGCAGCAGTAGCTGATGTATTTGTCTTTAAATGTTTTCAGCAAATGACCCAAGTGTAGTTATGTCAGTTTTGCAAGAGTTCTGAAATTGAAAACTCTCTTCTTTCAGTAAGTTGAAACAAAGCAAGCCCTTTGAGCTAGTCCTTCAGGGAGCCACCAGACAGGGCAAAACAAACAACCACAGTTCTTTGAAAATAAGGTCCATTCCACATCCTCTGGTACTAGAAACCTATACCTGGCATGTACACTGTTGTCTTCAAGACTGTCACTGAGCTAGGGAGTGAGGAATGGGGCAAGGGTAAATAAAATACTACAAAGCTTTCTTAGAGAGATTCAGGTGTTTTTTCCCTTGAGTAAGCATTCACTAGGTTACTGTAAACTTTTGATTAGTTTCCAGAGTTTTAACAAAGTTGATGCTGACAGTTTCTGCCAGTTTACTATTTTGGAGTTCTTTACTCTGACATTTTTGCTCCACCTTGGGAAAGTCTTCTTAATAAAGATAACATATATACTAGGCCAAGGTGTGGTGGCTCATACATGTAATCCCTGCACTTTGGGAGGCCAAGGTGGGTGGATCACCTGAGGTCAGAAGTTCAAGACCAGCCTGGCCAACATGATAAAACCCTGTCTCTACTAAAAATGCAAAAAATTAGCCAGGTGTGTTGGCAGGCGCCTGTAATCCCAGCTATTTGGGAGGCTGAGGCAGGAGAATCGCTTGAATCTGGGAGGCGGAGGTTACAGTGAGCCGAGATTGTGCCACTGCACTCCAGCCTGGGCAACAAGAGCAAAACTTCATCTCAAAACAAAATAAAACAAACAAATAAACAAAAAATGAGGATAATATATATACTGGGGAGAGAAGGTTCAGGGAACAACTCTATATTATTCAGGAAGCATTCCTTGATAAATCCCAACTGGAACCATATTTTCACTCTTGGCATTTATTCAGTCTGCATTAGGTTAGTGTTTATTGATCTGTTCCTTGTAAATATTAACTTGCCTTATAATTTCACATTCTGCCTTTTCAAAATATAAAGTTCATACAAAGAACTGTAAAAAATGCTGCTAGTATGAAAAAAATAAACTTGACACAGCTATGTTTTACTTATTTTTAATCCCCTTCTCATGCCTTCAAGTCCACTAACAACTAAAATACTCAAGATTGAATGAATGCTTTAATGACTTAAATGAAAAAATTACAACAGGTGGCATAAGTACATTATTATTTTAGTACCCTTTTAACTATAAAGTATTATCACCATTCTCCATGAGCATTCCCCACTTTGAAAAGTATTTCTAGCATAATTTCTATTCAAAAGCATATATAGATTTACAATCTCAGAAGCAAACACAGATGTTGGCAAACGCTGAAAATTTTATTAAATATCCATAACATGCAAAAGGGAAATGGGACTACTAATGGCTCCAAGTGTCGTAGGAACAGACAAAAGGAGACATAAAAATCATTTGCTTGGCCAGGTGCAGTGGCTCATGCCTGTAATCCCAGCACTTTGGGAGGCTGAGATCAGGCTGATCTCCTGATCTCATGAGGTCAGGAGATCAAGACCATCCTGGCCAATATGGTGAAACCCCGTCTCTACTAAAAAGACAAACATTAGCTGTGTGTGGTGGCACGTGCCTGTAGTCCCAGCTACTCAAGAGGCTGAGGCAAGAGAAAACCTTGAACCTGGGAGGCGGAGGTTGCAACGAGCCAAGATCACACCACTACACTCCAGTCTGTTGACAGAGTGACACTGTGTCTCAAAAAAATCATTTGTCTTGGTTTCCTTCAAAATAAATTTATTTTTCATAAATTTCAAACTTACTCATTGTTTAATTCTAAAGCTTGATAGGCTGCTTTGATTCGAGCTGGAGGATTTCTTTCCCTCCATGCCTTCTGCATAACTGTAGAAAAAATATTTCAAAAAGTAGATGAGATGGTAAACAAATAATCTGCAAAATGTATGAAGAATAAGCTAATGGAGTAAACAAAGCTTTAAATAATATATT